AAATTTTCAGATGTGTGAAAATAATATTAAGATAAATAATTTTTGATAACTACATGACAATATTGCATAAAAAAGAAAAACAAAATTAAAATAATCAGATCTAACAAAACTAGATGTTAAACATTAAAGAAAACATTCTTCCAAAATAAAACAAGATTGTAATTTGACCTACTTCTAACAAGAAAGAAAGTTTCTGTTTGCAGGGCAATAAAACAATTAGCAATTTATTGCCATTAACAGGAGTGACTAGCCATGCTCATTCATTGCAGCATATAGACTACCTGCCCATCCATAAAACAGATTTTCAACTAGAGTAGTTATCATCTAATAGTACACATACAAAAGCTAACCCTGATCATGTACGGAGACACTAGAAATATTTAAATATTTTTAATTTTCGCCATATGTTATATTTTTATTAAATGCAAAGATGCAGATCTGTTGTCTAATAGAGATTATGATCAAGAATTCTTGAGAAACCATAATTATTTTTAATTTTTATTCTTGAAAAATTTTTCAAATATGACATCAAAATATTTTTTAGCTAAATTATAATTTTTTATTTATACAATTATTTTTTTGTTTTTTTATGATATCTTGATTTTATAGATTGTTGAAAATAAATACAATAAATATTTTCAATTTTTATTTATTAAAACAATCATGACACTTAATGTAAAAGGCACTGTATTTCATGAATTTAGCTAAGATACATAATTTTGAATTTAAATGATTCATTCAAATAATTATTTCATTATTCATATCATTCAAAAAAAATGAATAGGTTTATTTAAGAAAATAATATTTTCTGTGCTTCAAACTTTAGATTTGGAATCAGAAAAATTTCTAAATTATAAATGTTACATTTTAGAATCCAAAATATTTAAAATAAGCTTATGCTACAATTTAAAATTAAAGAACTAATAAATGTAAGAAAAAGTATACTGTATATAAAATAAAAATAAAAAACAAAAATAACTACACTGTCTGTTCAGAATGTTCCAGGACTATTGTTCTAAAAAATCTAAAAGTAAACAAGAAATTATTTATTGTGACATCGTCACAATGCCAGGCTGCAATTTTTAAAATCTTTTTCATTTATTTAATTTAAAATATATGCTCTCCATCTCAAATTGGTAATGGCTCACTCCTGTACATCATACTTTTCCTTTAACAACAGAGTTGTGCCAGTCATCTATCTAACACCTTTCAGAAAAAATGTTTCAATTGAAGTAACATGACTTCTGGTTTGTATCAGACATTCACATATAATCGGGGCCTCCTGTCCCCTAAGGTTTCCATATCTGGTCTTGTCTTTCATCTATCTAACTCTGTTATCAAGATTAAGGGCAGACAGATGAATGAACAACAATGGGAACTTTTCAAACTGCAGTCCCCATATAGAAAGATTTTTAACCTTTATGATGTTCTACACAATTGCCAGTTTCTTGAGCATCATTGACAACATTAATACAACCACTGAAAGCTGGTTGAAAATTCTTCTTTTGCAAATCATGTTCATGCCACATTGGCTTGAATATCTTCTAAATTGTACTTTTTACCCTAAATACTGTATATATCTTGAACCATGAAAAGAAGAAAAGTCACATGGTGTAAGGTCTGGAAAATACAATGGGCAAATGAGCAAGGAGACTTGTCTTTGAGCTAAAAACTGCTACAAATTCCAGCTGAATGGATTGGAGCATTATCATGAAGCAAAAAACATTTTGGGGCAAACACACAAAATCCTGTTGCAAAAACATTCCAGTATACCCAAACAGAAGATGGCAATCAGCTTCTGTTGGAAAATTCTTTATAAAGAAGACCATCAGCATAAAAAAAAAAAAAAAAACAAATGTGATTAGCATCATCGAGTGATTGTCTCCTCTTTTTAAATCATTTCTATCATTCAAACATCTTTCAACGAGATAAATAATGATTTCCATGGCCTTGTAATTTTCTGTATCTGTTTTATCAAGTTTACAACTAGATTTAATTACTGTTCTTTGCTCCATCACAAATTTTTTGACAAGCAAAAAAACATATTTTCACAATCACAGTATAAAATAAAGACTGAGAACAGTATTCTAAAATAAAACTTGTCTAAACAAGAAAATGTAATTAATAAATATTTGCTGAATTAAACAAAAAATTTCAATATTTTATTTTTATAACTGCAAATTATTTTTTTTATTAATAGTATTGCATGTCCCCATTAAATCTACATTAAGTTTATTGTACTGACATTTTATATAACTTTACTTACAAACAGTGGTGATATTCAGCGGGTTCGCACAGGTTCGGCCGAACCCGTTGTTAACATTTTCAAAGTTTTCCGAACCTTGTTAAACACATGTAACATTTCTCAATGGTTTTGATTCTTTTAAAAAATATATTAAAATATACGTATTATACTCTGTAACAATACTAAACTAGAACCTTCCGGTGCACCATTTGAGCAAAAAAAAATTGTTAAGGAAAAATTTTCTGTTAGCGAACCCTTTGTTAAATATTTCGAATATCATCACTGCTTACAAATATCCAAAAAGCATAGTTTACTAATAATTCAGTTATGCTGTACCACAGATGATAACATAACTGAACACTCACAAAACATTTTAATGACAACAATTAACACAAAAATTTGTCTGCATTATTATATTCTCTGTATATTAATTATGAAAATACTCTCATAAAATATTTTGACTTTCATACAATATACATTTAATTTTAATAAAAGAAAAACTGAAACTAGATAAATATCTGAATGATAGCAGGACAAATTAAATAACTTCAGCAATAAATTTTAATAAGTCAAAAATGTTTCTAAATAAAGTAGAACATACAATAGAATGTTTTTGTGTTCTTTTTCATCTAAATTTTTTGTTCCAACTGATGAAGACTTATATAAGTAGGTTGAAAATGTTTTTGGTCTATTAAAATTTATTGCTGCAGTTATTCATGGTGTGCTGCTTTCATTTAATTCATTTTATTAATTACAAAGTACATGTATTTTTAAAAATCATAATACAAATACTGATTTAATAAAAAAAATTAATAATTCTTCATATTATTGTCATTCATTTTACTATTAGAACACATCAGAACAAGTTTATATCTTATAACTATACTAAGAAAACAAAAATAATTCTGTAAGTTATAGTAATTCTTATAGTAATTATTTAATAATAATAAATAAATAAAGTTATAGCTATAAGAAAATCAGGAATAAATTATATTAAAAAATAATTTATAAAAAAAATACTCTAAAGCATCTTTCTTTTGTACATTCATAACAACTGAAACAATAATACCAATTTTTTTTTTTTTAAATGACAGAAAAATGAACACACACACACACAAAATAACTTTTGAAGAGTTCAAATTTATAAATCAATTAGAATAGAAATTATGTTTAAAAAATGTATACTCCTACTAGTGAGATAGTCATTATAAAGACATGCCTAATGCTGACATTACTATTTTGATTAAAAAAAGTTCACTAAAATCATAAAATAGAAACTCAAACATTTTAGTTTATCTATGATTATTTTGTAATGAAATATTGGATATATCTAAATTATAACCAGGACATCGTTCAACTTTGTTGTATCAAGATAGAATTGAAGTGGAGCTGGAAAAAAAAAGGCAATTCATGCACCTGTTAGAAATAGAAGACTTGATATTTGTACCTTCTGGCCATGAGAGAGACAGTCCTTGCACTTGCCAACATGGAGATGCAATCCAAGAACAAATCAATAACAATTGACTGTTTTATTCTTGTATTTTATTTGTTTCTCGAACCTATTTTCTGTTAGGTGCATGCAATGCTGATTTTATTTTTGACCTGTATGCCTAAATTCCATCAGGCACACTCAGTTGTACCAGAGAGCACAAACATTGTTTTCAATATACAGAGGTATTAAAGTGACAAAGACATGGACTCCTATTTTTTAAATTTAAATGTACCCTCATTATATTTTTGGATTTCCCCATCACAATTAATGGAAAATGGCAAAGTTTTATCAAAATTGCCCCATAAAATTTTGAAAACATTCAATTCTATATGCCCATAGAAGGTGTGCTCGCAACCATGGAACATTGCACGACCAAGTTCTGTGATATCACTGTTGCATGAGCTCATGTTACAACTTTATATCTTAAAAACAGAGTCATGGACCCCATTTTTTATTATATGTTTGGATTCCTCATAGCAATTAATGAAAAATAATAAATTTAATTAAAATTGATTAAACAGATTTTGAGAACAAACACAATTCTGTAAGTCATAGAAGAGGCTTTGTTAACACTCCACCTCATTTAAACATCAGTCCTGCTACATCTGCACTTGGAGTATTCTGTTCTTATACCAATAACTAAAACAGATATTCATCTGCTAATGAAAATTTGAAATTAAATTAACACTTAACAGCTTATACAAATACAACAAATAATTTCACAACACATGTACATAGTGTTCATTTACAAAATTCAATCAGTCTTCCCCCCACAAAAGATGATCTCTAGCAGACATCTTTCTTGCACCCCCTCCTCTCAGCAAAAAAGTTTTTTTGCAAAATTTTATTTTATTTATTTATCAAATTACATGCCTTGCACTGCCATTGTTTTTTCAGGAAAAGGATGCTAAACTTCAGCTTCATTGCTGGTATCACTATCCACCTCATATTGAGCATTTGTTTAAAAACTTGAGAAATTTTTATTGTATTCTTGTTTTAATTATAAAATAATCAAAAATAAAAACTTCTTATTCACAATATACAAAGCAGAAGTGATGGATCAAAAGTAACACATGCACAGAATGTCCCAGGTGTAGACTTAGTGAGATTGAAATTTAGATTAAAAATATCTAATATATTTATTTACTATTTTATATATATATAATTGAGTAAATGATAAATATAAAAATGGACACTTAGAAAGTATTTCTATTTATTTCATATATTTTAATTATTATTCATCAATTTAAAATATTTACTTACATCTTCTAGTTTTGGGATGATATCAATCAGTATCTCACCAAGAGTTTCAATGTCAGCCACAACAGACAGAATCCTGTATAAAACAATATTTATGATAAATTATTATATATCTTTTATTCTATGTAATGAGTTATTTAAAACGCATTAAAAGAAAAATTCCATAAATCCTCAAAACAAAATAATTTACAAGAAACCATATTTCAGTTTTCTCCTTAAAATTATACATAAATTATATAAAATAATCAAATATATTTTATATTATTATTTTATAAATTTACATCTACATAATACAGCTACATTAGTCTGACATCAGATAACTAACATAAAGTGTTTGAGAAGTATACTTCTTACAGAAAAACAAAATAGCACATTTGAAGAGATATGTCAAAGATATCAGAAAAATCTGAAATCTCAAAAAAGTCAAGTATGTTAAGCTCTACAAAATGTCAAAATTTGATCTTCAATGTCTTAGAGCTTCATAATATCCATTAGACAATTAATTAAAGGATCATTCATTTATTTATTTTAAATATGCTTTTATTTTTTAAAATAAAACATTTTCATTTTCTCTTACCATCAAATATTTTTTATAAATAATAATTTTAAATCTAATAGTAAATATGTTAATTAATTATATATATATAATGCTGTTTAAAAAATTATTATAAATTCCAACACACATGAAGGTCTTTCAATGCCTTAGTTGATTAAGAAACCAAATTCTTGCTTGTATCTAAATAATAAAGCTATATTGGATCTACTTACACACTGATAAAATATTTCCTACTGGAAAATGAAATATTTGATGTCCTCTTTCAAGTGCAACATATCATCAAAAACAATCTAACCATCTCAATAAAAAAAAAAATAATAATAATAATAATAATTTAAAATATAAATGACACCTGAGGCATCAAAGTTTAACCCTCCATACCTATATAAGTTATAATCAATCATTTGTATTCCATTAAGTACTATCTGTTTATATTCAAAAAGTAATTAATTAATTCTCTATTATTTTAAAGTTTGATATCATTTTTTTAATGTTTAACATATTCATTAAATAACTATAAACAACATATAAAGCCAATATTGTTTACACAAACTTCTTTAAAATTACAAAAAGAATGAAATCAATGATAAATGTTCTAGTTGGATCACCAAGATCATTAGAAAAGGAATCCTATAGTACAGGGGTGGCCAAAACGTGGCGCATGCGCCAAACTTGGCACATTGGACGATTACAAGTGGCGCTTCAGTCAGTTCTGAGCAACATTGCCAGATTTGGCTTCTTTGCAATTATGAATATTACATAAAAAATTAATTTTTTATAGTCTGTCTTGGCAAGTTCATTTGTTGCACAATTCGTTGCAATCAACTTTACAGATAAAATGAGTGTTCTCCACATAGTAAATTACAGTGTATGCATGCATGTTTATTTTCGGTCAGTTTACAGGTGTCTAAATGACAGTGCTAACGTCCCATGATAGTGCTACCGTCCCACGATAGTGCTACCATCCGGACAGTCCAGGAATCGGATTGGACTAGTTACTTCTTTCCCGAGTAGTTCCTGCGACACCTGTTGACTTTTTTTTTTTATTTTCTTTTGCCTGTACGATACACGATACATTCGTGTTCATGTACACCACTAATACCGTATAGAACTATTTTATACGGGTAACTACACTACAACTGCATTTTTCATTGCTTGTTCTGTGGCAAAACTGAATTTTCGTCTTATAAATTGAAATACAGTGGTACCTCAGGATACGAAATTAATCCGTTCCGAAACTGAGATCGTATCATGAAAATGTCGTAAGGTGGATCATCTTTTCCGATACGATTACATGTAAAACCAAATAATTCGTTCCAACGCGAAAAACATACTCAAATTAAAGCCAAGTAATACATTAAAAAAAATAACTGTAGTAAGAAAAACAAATGAAAAATGTGAACTAATGTAACGTCGTATGGTGAGTTTTTGTTTGTATCGTGGAGCAAAAATATGTTCAAATTTTATGTCGTATCCTGAAAATTTCGTATGCTGGGGCGTTCGTAACCTGAGGTACCACTGTACCTAATTAAGGGGTGGCCGAAATTTTTCTCCGCCCCGGGCAGCTAACACCCACGGTATGCCACTGCGCATCTGAACTCATCTATCAAAAAATTTGTGCATGCTATGCAAAAGGTTGCATCCCTGCCATAGTATATTACAAGTTTTTTATTTATTCTAAACTAGCAGATGTACAGTACCTGGCGCTGCCTGGGCTAAAATAATCAAACTTTTAATATTGTTTTACATGGATTTAATTTTATTGTTTGTTTTTCTTACTTTTCATGGGCAACATCAGGCGTCTCTGTTAATTTCATAAAAAATAGGCAGAAGAAAGAAATTCAGAAAGACAACATTTATTTTTATTGAAAAAATACCAAAAAAACCCTGGTATATCTTAAGAAACGTACAAAATAGTAAATCCACCAATAGAAATATAGAACAGTTTTGAAAATTACATAATACTTCATTAGTTGGTGACTATATATATTGAACAATTGTTTTCATTGTTTTTCTTTTGATTGTCTCTTAATAAATTTTTTTAAATTTATGTATCTTTGCACAGACTTATTTTATTGTGTTTTTCATAAATATTTGCAGAAGTAAAAAAAAAATGATTTATGAAAGTAATTCTTAGCAGAGTAATCTGTAACAAAACAATTTAAAGTGATATATTTTAATAGGTAATAATTAAATTTCACAGAAACATTGAAAGCAGGAGAGAAATAATATCTAAAATTTTTAAATACTTTCAAAGCATTCATGTCATTAGGTTTTATATTGAATGTGATAAAGTAAATTACCAGTATGAGATACTGGTAAAGGATACTGATTAAATGATGTCAAATTGTATGTCATTATTTAGATCACTTGTCTTAATAATTAAACTATTTTATTAATTTACTATCTTCAAAATGAACATTAAGTTATGTGTTCTGATGTTTTTGGTGGTGGATTGGTTCACTTAAATGCAGTTGATAATTAACTTTACAGGAAAAAAAGAATAGTTACATAAAAAAGTTTTTTTTGTTATTAGAACCTGTTATAAAAATCCCTAAGGGATCAAAAGGCTGGTGGGAACTCCACCAAAGAGTACATATACTTGAAGTCTAAGATTGTCATAAATTGCAGCAGAGAGGGTATATTTCGTAGAATGCAAATGAGGTCAACTGGAATTCTACGATATCTACCCTCTCTGCTGCAATTTATGACAGTCTTAGGCTAAGACTCCACTAGCATAAAAACAGGCGTAAAACCCTTTGCCGTAAAAGCTTTTAATCACGTGACCATGATAATTTACGCCTGCTCAGGTCATAAAATATTTTACGGCAAGGGGTTTTACGCCGTTTTTATGGTAGTGGAGTTTCGGCCTTAGACTTCAAGTATATGTACACTTTGGTGGAGCTCCCACCAGCCTTCTGCTCCCTTAGGGATTTTTTATTTAGTGTAGTTCAAGACCAAACACTGCACCAACAGGTGCTAGAAATGGCCCATCTCATATGCATTCATAAAGATATTATATGTGCAAGTTCATACCCATATTAACTATGTACTATTAATGACTATTTCTATTTGTCATTAAATTTTAATTATAAAATATTGGCTATTCAGTGGTTACCTTTCAATTTAGTGATATTCATATCATGGTGTTTTGCAGTGACATCTTGCATAAATAGTTATATTTGTTAACATGTAGTATCATAAATAGTTATATTTGTTGACATGTAGTATCATAAATAGTTATATTTGTTAACATGATGCTATTATCAAGTCTCACCAGTGAAAAGTGATAACTTATTTGATCATAGTGTTAAGCTATAATACAAAATCCCACAACTAATCCTCAATGGAAAGATTGAGGGAAAGCATAAACGAGGCCGAAGACATTTATCATGGATGGACAATATTAAAAAATGGACAGGCATACAAAACATTGGGGAGATAATGAGAACGGCCAAAGATAGGAACTCCCTCTCCTTGGTGATTGCCGGGGGACTGGGCATGGCATGTGAAGAAGAAGAAGAGTTAAGCTATACAGATAAAATTAAATTACATGTATTTCTTTTTGGATGACACTACAAGTTCTATGAAACGTTAAGTTAATCAAGAGTCAAGTTTATGGGACTTTACTGTACTGTATTTGGGATATGAAATGATTCCTTATTTTAAATATCTTTCCATGGCTCCATTTACAGAGTTTTCATGGAATCTATTACAGCAGTCCCTCCATTTACACAAGTAAGCTGTAAATGATTCAAACTTGATACATTCAAAAATAAGCACAATCAGTATCTACTATAAAGCAAAATTCCAAAAAATACAATTTTATTTCACACTAACAAATTCAATGCCAGTAAAAAAACTGATTTTCCTACCAATATGACAAAATTTTTTATTTTTTTTATTTTACAAAAATATTTCTGTTAAAAATATCTGAATAATTTTTATGAAATACATTTCTGAAGTGTACAATAAGTAAGAAAAATAAACTTTTTTATAAACAAAGGATAAAATTTCCACAAGCAACAATATAAACAAACTGAGGACACAAACATTCTCAGCATATTGGGCAAGGCTACTAAGATATAATTTAACTTTTTTTGTACTTTTTTAACATATGTAGAATAATAAATAGTTAATTTTACCATCTTTATTCTGTAGTTTCATCAAATTACATAATAAGGACTGAAGGAAAAATAGCCTAAAATGGATTTCCTTGTATAAAATAAATTCTACATCACACACCAAAAGTGTTCTTGTATGATATGTTTTCCATAGTAATTTTATGCTTACTTCTAAAGTTGTTCATAATTTCATTGATTCCATTGCCAAAAGTTCCTTAATTTCAAAATTTCCATTGATAGCTCTAATAACTAAGCAATTGAGCTACATCTGTTTAGATTGAATATAATGTAAGTTGATTTTGTAGATCAACCATTAACCTTCAATCACATGCAATTATACTGTACAGTAATACCCCGACTTACGCAAACCCTGAGTTACGCGACTTTCAAATCTCG